ACGACGAAACGGGACATGCTTGACGGTTTCTCTCATTACAAGGGATATACATTGGTGTCATTATTCAATACATACTCGTGTACCGCGAGAACAAAGTTGTCATAGGCTTTGGAAGCGCTTGGACCTAAGGGACGCAACTCCGCTGAGCTAGTTTGGGCGCCCTGAACCACTGGGCCATCAGTGGGTCCAATATTGAATTATGTAGTGGTAAACGCCAGTGACCGGTGCAGAGTTGCATCCCTTAGATGTTAGGATTCGTTCATGTTGTCCTGGATCATGACAGTAAGGTTTGTAACAACAAAGAATAAAATGTTATACTTATTTCTTATTATAAAGAATACTTACTTATTTACTAAAACCATTTTGAAATGAACAATAATCAGCCCATCACCTTTCTATAAAAAGAAATTAAAAAGTTTTTAAATTAAATTCAAGAAGCGAAGTGACTTATTAGACTACGTGTCAGATAAAAGAGCGAATTGTGAATCATTAGTACAAATCATTAAATTACTCACTATTGCGTGTTACAATTCTTTGGCTCAAGTAGGCTTTACAATTCTTCTTTTTCAATTTGTTAAATGTATTTAAAATCGTGAGTCATTTACGAAAATAAAACGAAATAAAAAATGCAGAGTTGGAAAACATTCAATGAAAGGCAAGACTGCAAGAAACCACATAGTATGTTATTCCTTTGTGATGGAACTGCGTATATTTCACTAGATAATTCTGCTACAGACGCCTTCTAGTTCTTTATAATACGATTTACCGACCTGACTCATGCGCTGCGAAAATATCAATATAGATTACTACAACTCTGGTCGACCAAGAGGCCAATGGTCCCAGGTAACAGAGAAGCAGATTCGAGACACTTTCTGAGACGGTGTCCAATGTGAAATTGATGGTAGTGATGAATACGGCTCTAGGTCCCGAGTGGCCCAAGGAACGTCGGTTTCTTATAATTGTCCGACACAGCGTCCAGACTGCGAGTGACCCCTCGATCCCCAACATGACGTCATATGCGAGTCCAGTCTCGGATCTACAGTCCGACCTACAGGATATGGACGAGAATGTCTGGCCGTACCAGTTGCGTTTTAGAGAGCTTGATCAGATCTGTGTTTCTGGTGAAACGGTTCTAAGTGGTGGTGGGTGTGTTGTTCCCGCACAGTGTTATGTTCGACTCTCGATATCAGCTGAAACTTGGAGTGATATGGAATTAATGTCAGGATTCTGTATAATGTAGGTAAAAAGGGTTGACAGTTGGGATCGTTCGCGTTGTCGGATCAGATTTGAGCTTCAAGAGAAAAATGATCCTAGGAGCCGCACTGGCACTTGTTCGATTCTCGAAATTAGAACATGGGGAAATAGAAAACTAGGATTAAGCTTGAAATCGAGCGAATCCAGAGCGACGTACATAGGAATCTTTCCCACTCGAGACATTTTCAGTGGTCATGTTTCTCGTGAAGTCGTGAGTGATTGAGGTCGTGAAGTCGTGAGAGAGTGTGGGTGAGTGAGTGAGTGAGCGTTTTGGTCCGTTTTGTAACAATATTACAGCAGTACCCAAATAGGAGATCGATATTCGTCGTGCCAAGCGAATGCTTTAAGCACTAGTCTTCCCCACAGTTTGGTATTTGATGCCATAATGCATTACATTTCCTACAGATAATAATTACAAGTTGAAGACATTGAGTATGGATACCTGAAGTACAAGCGCGTATCATCCTTGAGTCAATGGTTTTCGGATGCTGTTCTCTCTCTTCTCATATGATCGATTGTGAAACATCTCACAATCTTACAAAAGGCGACTTTATCTCAAGCCATTAATGTCTGTGTGACGCAACACACCTGGTTCTTGAGTGTCTAAACACTTCCGTCCGAAAACGTATGATGTTCGAAAACATGTCATCCGATGGCATGTCTCAGAACGATTGTTGAAACAGATTAGATTTTATGACGACCATGAATTGTGTGTCCTGTAAAGTTACACATATAGCGGTCTCTGAAATCATAGTGTGTTATTAAATGGTTGCTGTGTTCGACTTTGTAATATTTCAAACGTTCGAAGTCACAGACCGCAAACATTCTGCAAAAACGAAATGTTATATAAGCGAAATGAAATCATTTAGATATTCTTCTCCACGTAATGACACACTTTACGCACAGAGGATGAGGCGAATTTAAATGAGGCACGTTGAGATTATTTCATTCATAAAGCCCCGCGGCTATGAGTATGACTGCTTTCACTAGTTACAATGGAGGTATTCCGGTTTTATAGTGATAACCTACTGATATAGCATGCCGCAGTTTAATCCGGATATGTCGACTCCATGCCGACCAGTCTTTGTGTTATCCCTTTAAAGCTGAGAATCAGCCAGAGTAACAACAAGAATCATCTTTTAACGTCCTGTGGTAGTACCCGTGAATATTCGGGTTAAAATATTGATCTTCAGTAACCCATGCTTGTCGTAAGAGGCGACTAACGGGATCTCGGTCAGGCTCGCTGACTTGGTTGACACGTCATCGGTTCCCAATTGCGCAGATCGATGCTCATGCTGTTGATCACTGGATTGTCTGGTGCAGACTCGATTATTTACAGACCGCCGCCATATAGCTGGAATATTGCTGAATGCGGCGTAAATATAAACTCACTCACTCACTCCCATGGTAGGACGAATCGATCTCCTGGTAGACAATCTATCTTGCAACTCCTGCGGTGAACAGGCGCTTTATGCTTCGATAACTGTATGAATAAAATATGCAAAACATTTGTATTTTTATAAAACGTAGTCACGTATATGCAGTATATAATTTGCACGCTGTTGATTGTCAGTCGGGCACTTATTGGTTAACGTTATCGACGTGGGAGGTTGGGGAGACGTCGTGTATGCCAGGTTCCTAGACCCCGTGGACATTACAGTTAGGGTGGTGGTCACCTGGGGTGGGAAGTAGCGGGGTGGGGTGGGATTAGCGGGTTGGTGTGAGGTGGTGTTATACACCATCACAGATTACAATCACATTGAGACATTTTCTCAACTTTAAGTGATCAACGAACCAAATTAATGCTGCCCATCGTAAATTGCACTTTGGCGTTAATGAAGTCTAATGGTACGCCATAAGAAACCAAACAGTGTCAATGTAGTGGAACATTGTCACAGCGAAACCGGATGTGCCGCACTCATGGTTGTAACGAACTACACTGCCGGGCATAATAAGTATACCTCCATGTTGGGTGGCGACTAAAAATGAAACAAACGGAAAATGATTTTTGTGTGGTTATGTGAGTGAGTTAGTCAGTTTAGTTTTACGTCCGTTTTTAGCAATATTCCAGCAATATCATGGCGGGGGACACCAAAAATGGGTTTAACACATTGTACCCATGTGGGGAATCGAACCCGCGTCTTCGGCATGGCGAGCGAACGCTTTAACCACCAGGCCACTCCACCGCCCGTATGGTTATGTATGTAGCACAGGTAGCACAGTTGAGTTTTGGACGTTAAGTTTTGCAATATTTCAGCGACTGCTACAACGTGCCAATAATCAGTTATTTGGAACACGTAGAACAGCTAGAACATACCGATGGTTTACGCAGACTTAAATCCAAAATGGCGGACATGTTTTTGTGAGTAGCCAACCATTTCCTACAGGACCTTCGTGCACTGTGTGTAATTAAATCATACGTGTATGGCAAGGAGATTTATGTACTGTGTAAATCTTAGCTGAGTGGCTCTGGTGCAGTCTTGTCTCGTAACGCCTGGATCCCGGGTTCGATTCCCATCATGAAGACATTCATGCAACACACTTATTCGTTCAGGTCAGACTGGACTTTTGCTCACTCGAACGGTGTCTTAAATTGGATGAGGTTTAGTCAAAGCTTGTTCGTCCAAACGCACCAGAGAATTACAGTCTGACACCAGCTCGCTTCTTAGACTGGACAGCATTGGCTGGAGACGTGATCTGAGCGAGATCTGAGCGAGAACTCACAGCGATAACAGCCCGTCCGGCTGGCCGGTCCGAGCCAGACTGGGAGAGAGGAAACTATTGATAATGCATCGCTTAGTACCACTGTAACCTGTCCATGAGGACTGTTGTGCCGATAAGTGGGTCGGCTGATATTGATGTTAAACGAGTGGTCAGCTGAGATATAATGACCACCGTTATGGTCCCTCCTTGCAAGCATGAGTCACAGACTGTCGGTCGACGGCATAAATACATACTTTACTTGGACCAGATGTCCGAGAGGGTCTCGGCCACTCAGACAGTCCAGAGACGGAGGGTGATTATAGGATGTAGGCGCGTGTTGTTAACTGATCGCGAGTGACATCCTGCACGAATAACATAATCAAATATGGGATTATATTAAACTTGATTGAAGGGTTCACGACAATACGTAAAGTGATTTCCGTTTCTGTAGTCTTATTCGATGAAACGTATGTGCGTAGATTGGAGGCGGCGTTTGATAATTTGTGTCCAAAGATTTGTGCCTGATGAAATTAAATTGTATTAATCATATGTACATGTTTATTGGGTTATATAGATGTAAGATTTACGTACCTTTTTTTTAAAACAAGTATAATCCTTGTCATTTTCACCACAACCGCCCTTCTCCTCCTCCTCCTCCTCCCCATAATCATCATCAACGTTATTTTCTTTATAGTCATCATATTTATCATCAAAATAATAATCTAAATTTTACATGTAAGTAGTTAAAATTGAAATTTTAAAAGGATAAATGGTCCCGGAACTCAAAAACAGTCTTCCAAACTCGATGCCTCAATATTGCGTATGAACCTCATATCAGCGCCACCTGTGTTGTACGAGACTACAAATATTCAATGTCCTCGTATTGTTTTTTTTTCACTGTGTGACGATGACACTTCCAACCACCCCTCCCCCTCAAGCTCTGGGAATAGTGGAATCAGTGGACCAAGTTGAAGTCACGTGACTGCTGCCAGCAGTAGCACGCGTGCGCTCTGAGGCGGTGTGGTACCGGCAATCCGTCTGCCGAGATAGCAGGGAAGTACGGAGCTCTCTGCCTCACTAGCTAAACGTGTCTCGACTCGTGGATGTTACTTGTAGTGTTTCAACTTGGAGTCTCTTGCATGGTGGACATGTGGGGAGGGTGGGCCACTGACAATGTGTGCATACAGGCCGTTGCTGATGATGCTGCTGTGTAGAAGTGTTCATGTGGGAGCACCCCGGGAGAGCATCAGGGGCAAGGTTGGATGTCCCTTTGTTAGACTCCCTCACACCAATTGTACAGTCACGGATCTCAAATAGCCCTACACCAACAATCAACAAATCAGCTCGTGTTATTCTATGTCCTGGAACAACGAGACCGGAACTGGTCCCAGGTTTGTTTTCACTGCCTACTTATTTACACATTTGTATAACTGACAATTTCTTACAGACTATGACGCAATTAAGTCTCTCTGATCCCAACGGTGGCCACAATAAAGACCAACGAGCATTAACTTCTTACTCACCATTTCCTCGTTGTATGAGACATCCGTATTTCTTTAAGAAACAGCGCAGACGTTAATCTCTCACACAAATTCTACATGATGGAGAAAGATATCTTTACGATCCCGTACCCCAGCTTGACTATCGGTTTACACCAAAGAAAATAGTTTGTCTTACTTAACGGTCGCCACTGTTGTACATGGCTGTAGGTCATACAATTAGATATTTGAAACTGGAAGATGCTTGAGTTTCGTGTAACCCTTAGCGTTGAAGGGACCCATGGCCGTGCAGTGCACGCCTCGCTTCACTTGCCGTACTGGCGGGAGATTAGATACGTACAGTACATTCACGTTGCGAAGAATTTGACTGGTTTCTCGTATTAACGCAAAGCGTCGCCAACTTTCCCCTTCCAGTTATAAAGAGTGCATGTGAGCTCAGCCTGTCGAGGACAGCACGCAGTTATCTGGTTTACCCCTCAGCCTGGGTCTACTAATTCATAGGGCTATAATCCTAGGGTTTGAAGGCCCCGACATATGGAACTGGTAGGGGTGGGAGAGGAGGTGGGAGGGGGTAAGACTGGTCTATATAATGTTACCAAAACCTCAAAGGCAACAGGCATGTGCTTGACTTGATGTAGATGAAGACACTCTCTGGCGTTGATGCAGGTATTATGTAACATGTTTTGATAGGATGATCTGGTGTTTTCAGTACCGTTATATATCCTTGATTATTATGTTTGCTAAGACTTTTTCATTAGGAAGAACAATATTACCAGTGAAAATCTGTAGTTTACAAACAGTCACGTTTTATTATATCCTAAACCATTATGTTACCAATGGTAAACATACTTCCTCGAGTTTCTCAAAGAAAGACATTACTTAACTTGGAACTATGATCTTAAAGATGGAAATATACTTCCTTTATCAATAAAGATCAATATACCTCCTTGATATATCAATATTACATAGCCAGAACTAGGGTCTTACTTCTTTCATAGACATAGTATATTACCGATGGAAATATACTTCCCTGAACAGCTCATTGATAGACATATTTCCGGGAACTAGAGTCTTACCGATAGAAATAAACATCCCTGATTATCTCATAGACGTATATTACATTACCCGGAATTATAGTCTTACCTCATTGATAGACATATTTCCGGGAACTAGAGTCTTACCGATAGAAATATACTTCCCTGGTTATCTCACAGTCGTATATTACATTACCCGGAACTAGTGCTATTATCTTATCTATGAGGATGTTCTTTTTTGATTATCAAGTGGATAGATAAAACGTTACCATGGTTACAATTGTTGATAGTAATTATTTACATACGTTGGCATCGAAATGAAAATAATGTAACGATTTTTTAAAGTGATCAGTGAAAATGAACTTGTTTGATTAGGAACCAAATATTCTGGCACCTGGATCTCGACGTTTTAGGATTTCTCCTTAGAGTATGCCTGATTCATATACTCTCCAGAGCGGCGTTAAACCAAACTCACTCACTCTAACCACTATATTCTATCATAGTCGTCAGCTGACTGTATCGTCACTAAGCTGTCTGGAGTAGAGCAGTCTCGACTATGATAGCCAAGGCAACCTGTATACCGTTATACCTTAAGCACTGTCTTCAGGTAATCGCGTTCAGTCTGGAGTCGAGCGAGATGGGGAGACTTTCAATAGGATATTTATCCATTAGCCTGGATCACTATGACTACGCAAGAACGCTTTCTCTTGTGGAAACAGTTGTGGATTGTTATCTAACAGGGAGTAATGTTCTAGACTTGTCCGGCGGTAGAGTAACCAAATTCCCTTTGCAGAGTTTGGTGCCTTGGTCTCGCAGGATCCGCTGTTTTCAGATTTGCCCAAATTGTGACTATATATCTAGCAATACTAGCGGGTTTAATCATGTGCTGAATTCATACTATGAACTTCTCCGTATTAAGTAGACACAAGGTTGAATAATTTAAACGTGCTATGAGTTGATACATTTCATTTACTCCGGCCGTATCGAGTGAGTTTGTGAGTGGAAGTGTGTGTGTGTGTGTGTGTGTGGATGGGTGAGTGAGTGAGTGGATGAGTGAGTGAGTGAAAAGTATTCCTGCAATATCACTACGGACGACCCTAGAATTTGTTTTCACAAACATGTTAGGAATCGAACCCAGGCCTTCGGCGGCGTGACAAGTGAACACCTTAACCACAAGGCCACGTCTCCTCACCTCCAGTGGTATCTAGATCTGTGTGTGGTATCACTGGCTCACGAGGCGAAATCAAGTATGTTTCTCAAGATAGGTACATGGGCCGATAACAGGCATTTGTGCGAATAAAGTAAATACAAACGGACAGGTATGGTCCCATCTGATGCAAGGTGCATGGATCGTTAACTGTGGGAAACAACACGCTTATATTGACGTTATGTGCCAGAAATACGTCTATATCTTAGAAAAAAAGACCCATACGCTGACGGATATATACAGCGATAGTGAAGGGTGAAGACAGCGTAAGACAGCGTAAGACAGAGTGTATATTGGTAGTATGGCTTGGCATTGACAGGTGTTAAAGGCAGGACAGAAATAGGCACATAAATGGTTATATGTGTCGGTTAAGTGAATAGGCAGTGGCATATGATACCATGGAAGTGTCCTGATTATTCATGGAAACAGGTTTATAAGTGTTTTAGTTACATGGATAGGCACTTACTGACACAACCACGGAATACATAGACTTCCCATATCATAGTCGTCAGCTGACTGTATCGTCACTAAGCTGTCTGGAGTAGAGCAGTCTCGACTATGATAGCCAAGGCAACCTGTATACCGTTATACCTTAAGCACTGTCTTCAGGTAATCGCGTTCAGTCTGGAGTCGAGCGAGATGGGGAGACTTTCAATAGGATATTTATCCATTAGCCTGGATCACTATGACTACGCAAGAACGCTTTCTCTTGTGGAAACAGTTGTGGATTGTTATCTAACAGGGAGTAATGTTCTAGACTTGTCCGGCGGTAGAGTAACCAAATTCCCTTTGCAGAGTTTGGTGCCTTGGTCTCGCAGGATCCGCTGTTTTCAGATTTGCCCAAATTGTGACTATATATCTAGCAATACTAGCGGGTTTAATCATGTGCTGAATTCATACTATGAACTTCTCCGTATTAAGTAGACACAAGGTTGAATAATTTAAACGTGCTATGAGTTGATACATTTCATTTACTCCGGCCGTATCGAGTGAGTGAGTGAGTGAAAGTGTGTGTGTGTGTGTGTGGATGGGTGAGTGAGAGTGGATGAGTGAGTGAGAGTGAAAAGTATTTCCTGCAATATCACTACGGACGACCCCAGAATTTGTTTTCACAAACATGTTAGGAATCGAACCCAGGCCTTCGGCGGCGTGACAAGTGAACACCTTAACCACAAGGCCACGTCTCCTCACCTCCAGTGGTATCTAGATCTGTGTGTGGTATCACTGGCTCACGAGGCGAAATCAAGTATGTTTCTCAAGATAGGTACATGGGCCGATAACAGGCATTTGTGCGAATAAAGTAAATACAAACGGACAGGTATGGTCCCATCTGATGCAAGGTGCATGGATCGTTAACTGTGGGAAACAACACGCTTATATTGACGTTATGTGCCAGAAATACGTCTATATCTTAGAAAAAAAGACCCATACGCTGACGGATATATACAGCGATAGTGAAGGGTGAAGACAGCGTAAGACAGCGTAAGACAGAGTGTATATTGGTAGTATGGCTTGGCATTGACAGGTGTTAAAGGCAGGACAGAAATAGGCACATAAATGGTTATATGTGTCGGTTAAGTGAATAGGCAGTGGCATATGATACCATGGAAGTGTCCTGATTATTCATGGAAACAGGTTTATAAGTGTTTTAGTTACATGGATAGGCACTTACTGACACAACCACGGAATACATAGACTTCCCATATACCTGTCGCCGTGATGCAAGAGAATGCAGTACAATTGATGTGGATCTACATGTTGGTGGTTAGGAGGGGTGGGGGCGAAGATGGTTGGGGTGGGTCAGAACTTGGGGGTGAGGTTGCAGATGTATTCAGTTCTTCACCTCCCCCTGCTTCCGAGGCACTTCAGATGAAAGTTCATGTTGATATATCTATTTCATAGTTATTGTTTATTCGTCGCATATATATCAGAGAACGTGAATGAAGGCATAACCAACAGCGTAGATAGTCTTCATGAAATAACTGGATCTTTCCAATAGTCAGCTTTCTCGAACAATATTATAGTAGTTTCAGCCTTTTCCAAACAATCACGTACAATCAAGCATGCTCTTACCTCGAAAACTTCAAAGCGCGTCTTACGACCTTTCCTCACGGTTCTTTGGTCAGAGCCACAATACCTTAGTGAAGTCTCTCAAACAGTTTGATGGTAGACACATCGTAGACAGTGACAAGAAATATGTCTGATTCAGTTTCCAAGTCTGACTTGTGTCAACTGTTCCCATGTTATTTTCAAGTGGACATTTTCCTTGTCTTTGCATGTGTTTGTGACTGGTTCCACCGTTGGGGCAAGACACACTCGCCTTTTCAAAACACTTGGTATTATCACTATCTTATAGTGATTCATGAACACATACAAATGCAAGAGTCAGAATCGTATAAAGATCTACTTTGAACATGAACAATTCATGTCATGATGGATATGCTTTTTGCTTGTATTTTAGAATTTATTACTCCGGGAAAGTTAATTATTCTGTATATGCATTTGAATTGAGCTTACATCTGAGTATGCATCCTGATTAGGAACTGCATCAGTACATACTTTTGTTCTTGGCCTACGGAATATACCAATATATGCATTGTGGACAAATGGACAAGAATATCAACCAATTCGGCAGAGTAGGCAACGCAATC